TATTGCCCTGAGTTCTAATGAGTAGCTATGATCAGTGAAGTTCTGTTATGTTGAGTTCGAGACAAATACCTATCAAAAGCATTGTCAAATGGTTGTGTAATATTGTGAATTGATTGTAGTGAGAAATGTAAACAACTGGATTCTGATTCAATGATTTAACAGTGGAATGTTTTCTGTGAGACTTGAATGATATGGATTCAGTCTCCTGTACAGCATTGGGTATGTAACAATGATGATTACCAAACTAGGATAAAATAAGTATCTAATGCTTCCTGATCTACAATGGCTGACGAACTAATATCAGTTCATAATTGGAAATACCAAATGAAAGTATTATTTGTTCTACCTGTTAAATCTTCTTCATTTACCTTGTAAAGATAAGTCCATTTATCATTACTCCATAGACTTATTCTATCTAACGAATTATTAATATGCAAGAAGGATTAGATAGTTACATCTGAGAGTTGGACAACTACTTTAATCCATAGCCAGTGATAGAACAAACAAGTCTCTCAGCAAGAACATTGCATATAAACGACTAAACTAGCATCCGATAGTCCATATATTTCATTTCATGTTATCACTTTGTTCAGTTTATAACTACTATTCGACAGACAGATCAAGCCTTAAATAATCAACATTTAATATTGTTCCATAAATCTATTGTATAGTTTAAATACGGATCGGAACTCTGAACCACTAGCTATATGGTGATCTGTATATCTCAGAAGATTTCCATAGTCGAATGAAACATTTGTGATAGAAATTGAGTTTCAAGTACATAAAAGACATTAAATATAGAAATTCTAAATTTAATTAGTATTGTTTGTTTGTATCATCCCATTATGAATTTAAATTTCACCCCATTGCATAAGCAAGTGGCTATCAGTACTCAATAGCGAACTGAGTAACACGATGGCGTTTGAAGCGAAAGGTACTGGGTTCGAGTTCCAGAGTGGACATCAACTCTGAGATGCAGGCACATTCAACTGATGAGTCCCAAATAAGATGAACTACGCGTCAAACTGGATTCCACTGCTAGCCTCCATCCATCTTTGCTTGTAAAAAATCCCATTTAAAATAAGCTCAGAGACCGGAATTTCAGTAATTCTAACATTTCGCCTGGTAAATTGGTTCAAAACTTAAAACAAATTATGTTAAAAAATTGAGCTTTTTTAAAACCTCATTCATTCTGTAATAATACTGATTTTAACAATTTCCCAAAAGAAGCTAACACCAGTTAGCTGGATGGAATAGTGAAATTATTTTAATTTCAATCTCCAAGATTGTAACCTTTACACTTAATTTAAAATGAAACTATGAGTTAAGCGTTCGGGATCAACACTGAAAGTTCTGGGGTTGAGTCCCGCATGTGAGATCGTGAATACACACTGCTGAGGAGTCTCATAGTAGGATGAAACGGTCATTCAATGCTTACAGGTTTTCAAATGATGGTTTAACTTAGATCGATTCATGAATTCAACTGTAATATCTTTGAAATCCTTCTATCCTTAAATAATATTAATACTCTAACTATTCATCTCAGACTAATGTTTAATTTAGTTCTGAATCATGTTTACCAATATCATAATGCAAAATTATTTCGATAGTTTAATAAGATGACAAAGATTATCAGAACTAGATGGTGGTTGGAGGTAGTCAACAGGAAACTCTAGACCCATATTTCATGCTATTTGGCACTCGTCACCAAAGTGTAATTGTAATCTTGCGGGAACTGATGCTCCCTGACGGATTCGATCCTGTTTCACCCATTTTCACAGTCAGAGGCGTTACCGCTGGGATATCCGGGTCGCGACCGACCTCCTGTAGGACTGAGATGTATTCACAATTGATTGATCACTGGGTGGTGATCAATATCATGCGTGTCAAGTCCTTCTTAGTGCAGATCGAATGCTATCGACCATGTTGCAATGTGGCCACCAGTGCCACGAGTGCCAAGTAGCACGAAACCCGGGTCCAGGGTTTCCTGTCGACTACCTCCTAACTACCATCTAATCTCACAATAGTGCCCTCAGTGTCGAGTCACCCAGACTACTGGCCACATTGCAATATGTTCGATAACATTCAATCTACACTAATAAGGACTAGACACGCATGACATTGATCAACACCCAGTGATTAATCAATTGTAATTATCAGAACTATGTGATGATATATATTAGCGCAATACATTTCGAACAATCTGATCACTCACAATATACTTGTTAAGAACATTGATATATATAAAGAAATAAAGGGTTAACTAGACTAGAAATGGAGAGTAAATGGAAAGAAGGCTACTAAAGAAAATGATATGAAAACAATTTGAAACCTCAACGCTCCCCAGATAATAATAATAATAATAACCTAATATTACCAAGGTGAGAGTAAACTGTTTTTTGAATACATAAAAAGGGTTAGGGTTTGAATTTTTCTATAGTTAAGGTTTCAGTTATTAATATCACAATAATAAATTTCATACATAAACATCATCTTACATTCTCATTTTCTCTATCCTCTTCCAACCCCCAACCCCCGTATATATTCTTATTCACCCACTCTCTCTGTCTCTTTCCCCCATACACACAAGTACCCAAGTTATAATTAGTCTCTAAAACAATTTTTTCACTTACGCTTTAAATTTATATTGGCTTAAACATCAACAGATAATTGTTATGTAATATATGCGTGTGTGTGTGTGTGTGACCTATATTCCCTACTTGATTCTCCCAAATAGTTTATTCAAGGGATAAAAGTTAACTTTTTATAATAATCAGAAGGGGAGTGAGAATCAAGTTATGATGTATACACCATTGTATACAACATGTATATATGTATGTATGTTTGTCTGTGTATGTGCGTGCGTGTGTGTGTATTTACCTGATACATCAAAACCATCCTAAAATGAATATAAATAGGAAATTTGTATAACATCACTTACCATCTTTTATCAGAGAAAAAAAAGGTTTAATATATATTTGAAAGTATAAAGAACAAAACTAAAAGAGTTATGTCTTATTCATTTAATTTCTCAACGCCAATCTTCTCAAATGAGCCATCCATTCAATTAAATGGTAAGTTGATTTTATATCTTTGAATTAATTTTGTATGGATTCAATTGATATTTGGATTGAGATCATGAACCGATTGATGTTAGACCACCATTGAAAATCTGGAAGTACTGGATGGCTGTTTCGTCTTAGTATGGAACTCCCCCAGTAGTGTGCATCCACGATCCCGTTCGCGGGATTCGAACCCAGGACTATCGCTCTCGTGCGCAAGCGCTTAACCTATTGATTTATTGTCTAACATCAATCAGCTCATGTACTCAATTAAAAACTTAACAATCTCCATAACCCCTAAAACTGTCAATTGATATTGTTTTTACTGGAATCTTCCCATTGATGTTAAGGGCTAAAATTGATCAGTCTGTTATTGTGTATATGTACACACTGTGCTTATTGCCTCGATATAGCCTTAAGTTATAAGCATTATATGTAAAGATGGATAGTGACTAGCAGTAGAATCCAGTTTGACGCATGTTTTGTCCTATTTGGGACACGTCAGCTGGATGTACCTGCATCACAGAGTTGATGTTCACTCCGGGACTCGAACCCAGTACTGTTCACTTCAAATACCATGGCGTTATCCACTTATCTACTGAGTCCTGATATGTATGTAAGGAATTCAGATTAAGATGAAAGAATATTTTTTTATAGTTAGTTATTATGTACTAAATGTTAATACATTGTTGATCTTCTGTTCTTACTTATGAAATTTAGTAGTTAAGTTTTATAGGCCAGAATACGTAAAAAATCATGTATCTATCTTGAGGATAAAGGTATCTTATTTGATGTAACTTTTGTTTGGATCCATTGGTAGAAGAAACTATAAACCAATGTAGTCATTGATTGATGGAATTTTTCTGGAGTTCTGAAAGATAAGTGAAATTTTGGGATAGAAGATTTTGACTTATAAACCAATTGATGTTAGACCATCATTGGAAACCTGGAAGCATTGGATGGCCATTTCGTCTTAGTACGGAACTCTTCAACAGTGCGCATCCCCTCAAAACATTTAAATCCCTGTGTATATGGTTTTTCAACTCCAATCTTTATCAGTCAACAAGATAATTACTTTAGTCCTTTCACTTTTATACAAGCCCCAGAATTACACGAACACATTGAATGGAACTAATTTGTAACAATTTACATGAGATTTCGAGATGAAGGTGAAGCTTTTCTCTAAGGTTGATCGTGCTGTAGCATTTGATGTGTAACCGAATACTATCGATCAAAATACAGAACAGTCTCCCGACTAATTAACTCTAAATCATAATTATGATTTGTTTTTTAGGAAGTTACTAGAGCTTCATAGCCTTAACCTTACGTCTTGTTGTAATCAGTACTCATTTACGTGTACAGATTTATTTATTTAAACACATAAACATTGGTACAAGAAAACATCAAACAGATATGCGCTACACGAATCATTCATTCATGTTGTGTGAAAGATGGGATACTATCTGGATGCCCAAACCGAAACAGGTGGTTTACTTGGGAGGCCACTCCCCGATACTTCTACCTAAACGTCTGATCCACAAGGCAGTTGAGCAACGTCAGAAGATGCAGTCCCATGGTAGACTGTAACCAATAATTGATTCATACGCCATTTGTTCCTTCAGGATCCTGGAGCCCATGTACACCATTAGTTTGGAATCAGGGTTTTCCAACTCCTCTTGGTGGACTCTCTGTGTCCACCAACTCGATCAAAACACCAAAGATTCGCTTTTCGTCCTCTCAATTTTTGAAATAACTGTAATGCTGTTAAAAGGCAGTGAGTAGGACTTCTGTGGCAGTGGTTGTATGCATGTGGTCATGTGAGAGTATTTGAAGAGAGAGAGAGAGCTGACTTTCCCCACTCTTGGCCGTACCAGGGCATTTGGGGGCACATGCACAGATTTAATCATTTCATAGTCTTATTATATGTATACATACAATATGAGTATATTATTCAATCCATCATTTTTTGATATACACTTCTTTTCTTTTATAGATACGATTCCTACACCAGATAACCTTTCTCAATGTTCACATTTCCACAATAACTTTAATCATTATTCAAACTTTTCCAACTGTTTATTGAATAATTTAAAAATTGACTCATATACAACGAGTCAAATCTATTGTAATGATAGCGGTTATGAAAGTATTGATAGTTTGAATAGAGTGAATCAGTCTAAACAAAAAATTTCCAAATTAAAATTCTCAATTGATTCTATCTTATCCCATTCACCATCTGTGTCATCATCTTCATCTTCAATGGTACTCTTATCATCATCATCATCATTATCATTATCACCATCACTGCCATCAATGAATAACTCTGATATGAGTAGTATATTTTTAAAAAATAGTGATAGTTCTACACCATTAATTAAAACAAACAGAACAATTGAATGTTTAAATCAATATAATGAACCGAATTATCAATTAAGAATGATTAAAAATCAATATTTTATTGATAATGAACAATTGTTCCCAATGGATTTATCCATTTTTAATTGTAAATCATCATCATCATCATCATCATCATCATTCATGATGAAACAATCAATAAAAAATGTGATAAAAACAACTGGTGAACAATATGATTGTCGATATTGTGGTAAATCGTATTCAGTGAAGTCATCAATAAGGTAATTGATTTGATTAACACATTAAAATTATTATTAGAAGAGGGTTTTTATGAAGATTTTAGTCATTTAATCATTGAATTCATAAGTTATTTGAAGTTAGACCATCATGAAAAACCTGGAAGCATTAGATCGATAGGCACTGGGTTCGAATCCCGCCCTGCGGGATCGTAAATGTGAACTACTATATTGAATTTAAACAAATAGTTTTCATGGGTAAGAAAAGTGAAAAAAAAATACTAACTAACAGTAAATAATGTCTTAGTTCATAACTGTTGAATATAACGATACTGAGTTAGATTCATATCTAAATTAACAGAAGTTAATCACTTCACTAAATTACTTTAAAAAGGGTTTTTTGTGAATATTATAGTAATTTCAATAATTGTAATCATGAGTCAATTGGAGTTAGACTACTATGGAAAACCTGGAAGTATTAGACAGCTGTTTCGTTTTTATTATGGAACTCTTCAACAGTACACATCCACGATCTGGCCTCGTGAGATTTGAACTTGAGTTTTATTCAATATTATATTTTTGGTACAATATAGAATTCTCAGCATAAAGTTTTTTTTCATTTCTTGATCAATCCTGACGATAAATATATTAAATGATCGCCAAATTAAATGTTAACAGTTCAGTAATCGACATTGGAATAATCTACATTCTTTTTTATGTATATTACCAATAACTACAATGTTACTGATTATGCTCTTTTCTAACTTGTACAACAAAAATTCATAAATTGACATAATGATCTGTTAAATCAACTACAAAAGAAAACAGATAACTTGTTTGAATATCTAGATAGCAGGAACAAATAACTCAGATATTCAATTAGGCCGCCTATATATTTATTACCTCCTAGTTGTTTTCAATAAATATGAATATTTGATTATATCAGTCATAAATATGCTTACTGATTGTCATTGTTAAACAGTGAATACTTTATAAGTATTTGAAAGGAATTGTCTGAAGATTGTAGTAATTTAATAGTTGAGTTCATGAATCAATTAAATCTAGATCTCCATACCCCGATCTTTGTTGCTACCTTGACATGGTGGTCGGGTTTGCCTATCGTGATGAAGCAACTGAGCTATACTGGCTGGAACAACCGTTCCTCAAGGTCCTACCATGCCAGACAGGTCGGTTGAAGAGCGGTAAGACTAAAAGCAACAAAACCAAGATCCGAAGGCGAAGTCGTACTGCTGACTGTACAGAGGTGTGACAGCAGTAAGGTGTTTCCTTCAGACAACCAGCATCTGCAGCGATGCTGCCTTCCCACAAGGAGGGGTGCCGTGGAGTTAGAAAAGGTCGACCCTAAAAATGCACACCTCGTCTTATCCCACGGATATCCGTCTCCGGCGGTAAGATCTCAACAAGTACGTAGCTAATACAAAAACTACTCATAAAAAGTTCGTGTGTGACCGACCTCAAGCAGATGTCCTTTGGGCACTGCGGTCACGCTCTCAGGTCACTGTGATCACCTCTAATCCTATTTCCTTTTCAGGCAGCTCCAGGAGAACCCTTCTACGGTGTGGGCAATCGGAAAGTGATTACCTCCCTCATACTTCTAACAGCACTCAAGGCAGATCCCCATACTACGACAAAACAGACATCCAGTGCTTACAGGTTTTTCATAATTGTTTAGCTTTAATTGAATCATCAACACAACGATTAAATTATAAGTATCTATTCAATTATTTTACCAAACAAGTAGTATCATCTGATAAATAAATGGAAAATCATCTGAAAACGCTGGACGTAATACATTTATTGATCAATGATAAAGTTGAGGATAATCTTGATCGAATCTTATAGTTGGCGGTATTGAATTTTGAATTTACGCCAAGAATATGTTAAGTATTGATTATTAAATTATACAATATCAATGATTTTCATCGCTTTTTGTTAACTTTAGATTACATGAAGCAACGCATACATTACCATTTCATTGTCAAGATTGTGGTAAACGTTTTTCACGTCCATGGCTTCGTGATATACATTATAGAACGCATACAGGTGAAAAACCATATGAATGTACTATATGTGGTCGACGTTTTGCTGATCGTTCAAATATGCGTGCACATCAACGTGTTCATAAAGAACGAGAATAACAGTTGGTAATTTGATTGATGGAGTCTCTACACACTCTTACAATCAAATTTCAAACTAGTGAAATCGGTAGATTGGTACACAGTGGAACGCAACTAGAACTTCGCGTTAATGGTTTGTGGTATTTTAATTTTTATTAGGATCTTACAAATTAAGCCCTGATTATGATTACTTTAAGGAAACTGATAGTTATATGCATTGATAATGGTAAAAAACATAGTTACTGGATACGTTTACATTCTATGCCGACAAACTTCGCCCTTTCAATACCTGTTGTTATATACATGACTAGAAATAGTGAACTATTGACTAGACTTTAGATTATTAAGAGTTTCGTTTCATTTTTAAAGATGAACATTAAAATGATTTAAAGATACCAGTTTCAGTTTCGCTTCAGGGCGAGACTATAATTTATAGACGAACCAATCAGATAAAAGATAGCCAGTCTGGTGCTTTGGCGCGAAATTCACCCATCCATTTAGCTAAGTAGCGTTTTGACATCATAGATGATGATGTCAGTTTGTGATGAAAACCGTAAATCTAATTCCTAACCTTAACCCCATCAACTGTATATCATAATTCTAATTCCTCACACACAAGTTTATAACCCTTATTTAGTCCTAGTTACTAGGTGGACGTTTTCAAGGTCACTCTGGCGTCACTCAAAGGTCGTCCATAAATTATAATCTCACCAAAAAAATCTCCTGGAATAATTTGGGATAAAAAATTTGATATCATTTCATAGAAAGGTCTTGCAGTTATTCGCATTGTACTCCACTGGATATTTATTTATTTTCCTTAAGTATCAGATTAGGGGGGGGGAATCTCTTGGGTAAACGTTGGTCTATACATACCAACCAGATACTGAAGTGTTTTTTTTTTTTAGAAAGATTATAGAACTAGAAGCAATACATAAATAGGTCATAGATAAGCTATATAAATTTACGTATTTATAATGTATATGAATGTGTTTCTCTTGAGCTTCATATACACTCTAGATGAGATAAATACAGATCCAGAATTCATCAGAAATGAGCAAAGAATAAAGATTGAATTCAACATTTATGAATGAGTTGAAGTAAACAAAGATCTAACTGTTATCGTCAGTCAGTCAGTCAGTCAATCAGCAACAACGTAGAACTTCATACATACGTACATATGTACATCAGTTCGAGTTATCGTACAAATGGTATACAAATTCGAGAACGGTCAATGGCCCTATTTAGGGCCCTTTTAAAATTTGATTTACCCAATTGTTTTTGTCTTCCTTTAATTAATCCAAAAAAAAGGAAAAAAAAATATTCTCTCTATGGATGGGTGTAATAAATAAGTGTGTATGTTTTGTTTCAATTTGTATTAGCTATAGGTAAATGGTATTATATTTAGCTATATGAATAATATCCAACAACGTCTATTCACAACCAATCCTAAATTAGTCAGTCAGCTGCAACGTAGGATCAGGCACATATATGCATCGGTTCAAGTTGCCATACCGCATTAGCACAACAAGATCAACACCGGATTCATAGAAGTAGTTAATTCAGTTATGTTAATATATAGAAGAAAGATTGCTTATAAGGATATAGTACAGGAAGAAAGAATTAATATGTAGAAAGAAAGATATGAAGCAATTTTAATCCCTTAGTTTGAAGGAAGACAGAGAGTGTATACACCGAAGTCATTGTGATCGATTCTGAGCCATGTCACCAAGAGTCTCCAACCATTGGTTACGATAGTCGCGCAGACCCTAACCAAGTAGTCTGCATCTACCAACATGGATCAGACTAGAAGTTAGTGACTTCGATGACTGATGCCACGTTTTGGTTTGGCCAACCCTAACTTTCTTCCAACCATCCCCAACACCAGCTCGCATTGCGCGTCATGGTAATCGGTGTTCAGGAATATGTAATATGTGGCCCAACCACATGAGTCGATGTAGATTCACAACATCATCAACTGATTTACCATCATCCTAAATAGATAATGATAACACTTCTAATGTAAATTTCATTAATATTAAAGATATCACAAGTGTTTGAAGTTTGACAATACATTAAGTAGTAACATCTTCTATAATCGAAACGTACCAACCCAATGAAATCAAAAGTCAAAAGTAAAGAGATTAGAAGTTATATTTGATAGACTATTGATATATCAAGAGGTGATTGTTCTAGACTGGCTAGCGATTGTAGGAGAAGTTAAGCACAGTGTATCAACTCGTGAACTGATGCGCAATCATAACTTAGCACCTTTAGTTAAGTGAGTCCATTAAAACAAATAAGATCAGTATTAAATGTCGAAGATTTACAGAGCTATTGATTTTGAGGATTTATTTTACCGCTATAATATGATCAATACAGCCACCTAAGAAGAAATACCGGCGATACTATAATTTATGGACAAACCAATCAAATATAAGATAACAGGTCTCGAAGTTTCACTCATCCATTAAGATAAATAGAATTTTGGCATTATAGCTAATGTCAGTTCGTGATGAAAACCCTAAATCTAATTCCTAACCTCAACTGTAAAACAGTAATTTATAACTCTCATTTGATACCGGTTATTAGATGTACACTCTCATGGTTGCTTCAGTGTTGCTCAAAGGTCGTCTATAAATTGCAGTCTCAGCGAAGTGCCATTTTGCTGGTCGGCGGCCTATGCTCCATTGGGAGTAACATGCATAAGTAAGAAAGTAAGTAGGTAAGTAAGTACTTAGGTAAGTAAGTAAGTAAGTAAGTAAGTAAGTTAGTACTTACTTACGCCTGTTACTCCTCGTGAAGGAGCATAGGCCGCTCACCAGCATTCTCCATCCAACCCTGTCCTGGGCAATCCTTTCAAGCTCTTTCCAGTTCTTATTCATCTTTTTCATATCTGCTTCTATTTCCCGACGTAATGTGTTCATTGGCCTTCCTCTTTTCCACTTCCCTTCAGGATTTCAAGTTAGCGCTTGTCTCATAATGCAGTTTGATGATTTCGCCAATGTATGTCCTATCCATTTCCATCGTCTTTTCCTAATTTTCTCTTCAGCTGGAAGCTGGTTGGTTCTCTCCCACAAAAGGCTGTTGCTGATGATATCCGGCCAATGGATGTTGAGTATCTTGCGTAGACAGCTATTAATAAATACCTGTACCTTCTTGATGGTGGTTGTTGTAGTTCTCCAAGTTTCAGCTCCGTACAGTAGAACTGCCTTGACGTTGGTATTGAAGATTCTGACTTTGATATTGGTTGACATTTGTTTTGAGTTCCATATGTTCTTCAGTTGAAGGAATGCCGCTCTAGCTTTGCCAATCCTCGTCTTTACGTCTGCATCTGAACCTAAGTAAGTAAGAAATGCCATTTTAAATACAAAATTAGATTTTATCTAGTTGTGTAATTATAGTGGAAAATGAAGCAATAATGTAAAATTCATTACAGTCATATGACTAGTTAGGACCTAATATCACAAACAGTTTAATTATCTGAATTGAATTAATTCATATAAAGCATCGATGAAATAGTGGATTCAAAAGTAGATTTAGATAATGCCTAACTCATTGTATTGTATAACAGCGTTCGTTATAATATGCTACATTCTGATTTCTCCCAAGTTTAAAGACGTTTAGTGTATCATGTCATATCAGTTCTGTGGAAAGTGTCTAGCTGTGATATAAGTTAATCCCTTGCAATGAGAACCTATAGTATAAAAATATTAAGTCCTTGGAGGTAATCAACAGAAAGTTTTCGATGTAGACTTTAGAATAGTTGGTACTTATGAACAAAAAGGTATATGAGATCTTGATGAAACTGAACTTCTCCATAGGATTCGGACCCTTGTCACAGTAGAACACACAGAGATCTTTCCACTCAACTATTAAGACATTCACGAGGATTGATATATTCAAATTGACTGATCAATGAGCACCAATCAATATCATCTGCAACATATTAATACTGATCGAATACTGTTGGTCAAGTATGTCACACTTGTATATGTTATTGTATCAAAAAAAATAATTGAAACAATCTGATTCCAGAAATTCACGTATTACGTCTCATTAATATTGTTCAGCACCAACCAGTGATCAATCAATTGTAAATACATCTCAATCCAACAAGAGGATAGTAGCGGCCTGGATATCCCAGTGGTAACATCTCTGATTGTGAAACTGGGTGACACAGGATCAAATCCGTCAGGGAGTATCAGTTTCCTCAAGATAACAGGTACACTGAGTGTCAAATAGCACTAAATTTGGGTCCAGAATTTCCTATTGACTACCTCCAATCACCATCTTATCTCAACATAGTGCACCTAAACTGATGGCCATATAACAACTTGGTCGATAGCATTCGATCTACACTAAGAAGGACCTGACACACATGACTTTAATCACCACCCAGTGGTCAATCAATTGTGAAGGTAGATCACTACAATATCGGTCGCTTACTTGAGTTAGCTGATAATAAAAGGTAATTGTTTTCATGATTTGTATTTGACACACCTAGTTATTTCATTCCTAAATTATGCTATAATTATTGAAATCACTAACCTTTGAAAGTTTGAAAAATAAGGCTCTTCTGAAATGAAAACACTCATATACATATTACTAATAATACTAGACCCAGATCAATGAAACAACTTCTTACCTAGATAACCACAACGACATTAGCTAATAATGCTCAATGACTTATAACTAAAGCAAGAACAATTAATTTAGTAGAATAAAATGAGTATAGGGTTGTGGAAATTGTTGAGTTGTTGGTTGAATTCATGAATCGATGAATGTTAGATCACCGTTGAAAACCTAGAAGTACTGGACGACCGTTTTGTCCTAAAATGGGACTCTTTAGCAGTGCACGCGCGAGATCGAAGTTCATGGATTCGAACCTCGCAGGCAGGATCGTCGATGCGCACCAATGAGAAGTCCCATACACTGAGATGAAACAGCTGTCCAAAATAAAATGAATTTATTGTATTTCGCAGTTTCTTATCAGTTGCTTACAACCTAAACATAATAGAAAA